ACGTGTTTGAGTGTGACTGTAGACGGGGTTTGGATTGATGATTCGATTTATTGACCACATATACACTCAACTCGTAACTACAAGTAACTATAGCAGTCTCGCTGGTTTACACACTTACTGGCGTTCTCGGCGTCCGCGCGCACGTCGTATCCACGGCTGATCTCTTTGCTCCAAATGACTAACTCCCAGACTGGCGGCCATCTCACACCAATCTTACCTAGTACCCGCTTCACGGGCTGAATGACGACTGACTACAGCTCAGAGTCAGAGCCAGAGCCAGAGCCAGTCAGTTCGTTTTTGACCCAAGCCCCATGAGACTGACGACTAGTATTTTTTTCAACTGAACACCTGCGGTCATAGTCCTCATGTAACATTCTCTCTAACGAGAGGATGGGGCTGTCTTTTACAATTGCTGCTGGTCCTCGCCAGAGCAGTCACTCTCGGGTCTGTTTCCCGCGGGACTCATGACAACATTTTACCGTCTCAGATTCGAGACTCCCCAGCCTGGAGGGCTAGGTCCCCGTATTTATATCTCCCAGGAACAGGGTGACCAAGTTATATCCCCCAGGCACTGGGTTTGCTCAGAGAGTTACTTTGCGACTGGCCGTGCACCGTCAATCAGTTCGTCTTGACGAGAAGCCCCTTGAGATCCACGATCAGTAAGTTTATTTTCCAACTGAACTCTTGCAGTTATAGCCCTTATGTAAAATCACCTTTGACGAGAGGATGGGTATGTCGTTTACAGTTGCTGCTGGTTCTCTCCAGCGCAGTCATTCTCAGGTCCGAATCATGGGGGACTCATAACACTATTTTACTCTCTCAGAGACTCTCCTAACCTGGAGGGCGAGGTCCCCATATTTATATTCTCGAGGAACAGGGTGGCCCGGTTATACCCCCAGGCACTAGGTTCCCTTTTCATCGCCTCCTACGACTCGCAAGGCTACGGGGGATGTACGAGTATTTGACCCTGCCTCCACATGTGGTTGGGTTTGCTCGGCTAGTGCCCTCGTTATGTAACCCCTTGGGAAGGACCGCATAGAGGACAGCGTTTCCAACAGTTCGTCTGTTGTTTCGCGTGAACTCGTTGACTTGGGAACCTCTTTGTCTCGCGGTTGCTTTAGTAACGGGTCGACACGCTACTGTATTATACATGGAGATGCATAGGTCGCCGCACATGTAGGCAAATATGCAGAATCAGTATTAATGATATTATTTGTGACCAGTACTGTCGTGAGGCTAAAGTCCCAGAGAATCTCAATTAAAAAAAGTTTCGTTACTTTGCATCTGCATTTCTCACTGTCCATAAGCCATTTCAAAGCCCCATGTTCTCAAGAAGATTGCGGAAGATCTCCCCAGTGTAGGCTATTGGAGTTTTTCTTTCCTCCAGATTCCTCTACAAGTAGTATAAGAATGGAAAGAAGGAATCACCGGCATAGCTGGAGATCGCGATAGCCACCAGTGACGCCCGATCTTTATATCACCATACTGTAAAAGGCTCACTTAAAAACTTGCGAACACTAGCTGCAAAATGGTCAGGTGCTGTCTTACATGAAGCATGTCTTCAGTGTTGGTGTCCTCTAATTGTAAGCCGCTTCTCGCATCCTCTTGCAGAAATTGCAGGGAGGACTCGCCAGTCCCCCCCCCCTAGAAATAGAGGACTGGTAACTCTATATAAGGAAATAACAGCCTCCCCCCCACACACACACAATCCGGGTTGGCTGAATGTTTCAGCCCCAATGTGCGGGTTAGTAACCTCCTGACCGACACACAGCTATGTTTGTTAACGTGTCCACATACGTGTAGTTTGAAATTCACCTGATCGGGCGATATCATGTTCATCACAATGTCAGGCGATTACTCATTTGGGAAGATTTCGCAAAACTGCAGCCTTATATCTGTGTCTTCTTCCAGTAGTAAAACGTGGAGTTGTCCTTGTGCTTAACTAATTAAGCACTGCGCCATGGCGGCGAAGGGGGGAGTGGATGTAGAGGTACACATTTTCTTGACCTCGACACTAGTTGAAAGTGAATGGTCAGCTTCACGCCCCTGCCGCTTTACCACCGGGGAGAGAGCTCCCGGTACCCATTGGATAGGAGGTTGGGTGGACCCTAGAGCCGGTCTGGACTATGTGGAGAAGAGAAAATCCTTGATCCTGCCGGGACTCGGAACTCCGACCCCTTGGTCGTCGATCCCGTAGCCAGTCGCTATACCGACTGCGCTATCCCGGCCCCTGCTCTTCCAGTAATTCGTGAAAGAATCCTACAACATAACATCTAGGTCGAGATCTCGTATTTTGTACTGATATTGAGCCAAAGCTCATTTCTGGCTTCCGCCCATGTCCTCTTTCGCGGCCCATGACTTGTCCCTTTCAATCTTACTGACAGACATTTCAGTCCTGCGTGCTTCCATACCTGATCCGGTGCTATCGAACTTTCGCGGCCGATGGCTTGTCCCGTTCAATCTTACTGACAGACATTTCAATCCTGCATTCTTCCATACCGGATCCGGTGCTTTGGAACTTTCGCGGCCGATGGCTTGTCCCGTTCAATCTTACTGACAGACATTTCAATCCTGCATTCTTCCATACCGGATCCGGTGCTTTGGAACTTTCGCGGCCGATGGCTTGTCCCGTTCAATCTTACTGACAGACATTTCAATCCTGCATTCTTCCATACCGGATCCGGTGCTTTGGAACTTTCGCGGCCGATGGCTTGTCCCGTTCAATCTTACTGACAGACATTTCAATCCTGCATTCTTCCATACCGGATCCGGTGCTTTGGAACTTTCGCGGCCGATGGCTTGTCCCGTTCAATTTTACTGACAGACATTTGAATGCTGCGTGCTTCCATACCGGATCCGGTGCTTTGGAACTTTCGCGGCCGATGGCTTGTCGCCTTCTGTCTTACTGACAGACATTTCAATCCTGCGTGCTTCCATAGCGGATCCGGTGCTTTCGAACTTGCCTCGAAGTTCATAAGCGGGTTCCCCTCTTCCAGCTTGACTGTGAGTATAGGCAGCCGCTACTGGATAACGCCTCTACAAAGAAACGTGTTCCCACAGAAACGATTGGAGTGCAACAATGAACGGTGTTTTCGACGCCGAGAACAGCAGGAACAAGAGAATTCAATGAGTTGTAAGGGAATCTGTGAAGAGAAGACTTAGTGCAGTTAGCAACGAAATGAGCACGGAAGCTGAAATTTTTCCACATTAGAAGCCGTTCCTAGGGAGTGATTGGTGAAGACAGCAGACTGAAAAGACTTAGCGTGTGCTACAGTGATTTCTATAGTATGGAGATTAGCGATGGCTCTATAATTAACTGTAGTCACGAGTCGTGTGTTAAAGTAGTCAATAAATCCAATCTCCAATCGAAACCCCGTCTATAGTCACTCCCCCGCTTGACAGTATTGTCATGTGTATCAGTGACTAAAGATGCGGGTTTGGATTGGCGAATCGGTTTATTGGATGTTCACAAGTCGTAACTACAAATTTTCTTAGACTCTCAAAATTACAGTAACTATAAATAAAGTCTTCCGTATCTGCTCGCAGTGGCCTTTGCTGGGTACATATCTCAAGAGTGGTTAGTCCAAGGCGATGTTCTTACTGAATTACACACTCCAAATATTACACATAAAGCTTTCTTTCCACAACCGCCCGTAAAGAATTGAACTCTCAACTCAACCCTCCTAGACTGACTCTCAAGTCAAAGTCAAAGTACCGTTGCGACTGACGCAGTGTTACTTTGGCTCTCATGTCCATGTGGGATGCCCTCTCTGACGAGAGGTCGGGTCTCTCATTTGTCAGTCATAGTCGATAGTATTAGTCCATTATCACTATGTACACTTGATTACAATTGAGTCTTAATATCTAGTATGTATAATATACCCGTATACACGGCCTCTGTCAGTCTAGACTCAGTACAGCAGATTATGCCCTATTTCTAATAGTACGAGTATTTGCTACCACGGCAGTCTAGTCACTTGAACGGTCCTATGCCTGACCGCCGCCAAGTTTAAGCCTCTTATACTTTCTGTGGCGGGCTTCGCCTTTGTCAGATGTTGCGAACATTCTCATTTTCATTATTTTCTATGACTTCTGCTTGTTGCCTGCATAATTTTGTTATATAGTCATATACGTACGGGATTTTGAAAGCCATGTGCAAATCGCGGACCGGTGTGCGCCTCGGAAAATTGCCAGTGGTGCGGAGAACCTTGTTTTGCAGGCGCTGCAATTTCACTAGATGGGTGCCTGCCGCAAACTCCCAGGCGGGACTAGCATAAGTCATTACGGATCTAATGAGAGCTTTGTGGAGGGTCAGTTTAATGTAGGCGCTCAATCGCTCACTTTTGAACAGGGAATACAATCTTATAAATGTTCTGAAGGCCTTTGCTTCGATCATTTCTATGTGCAATCTCCATGTAACTCTCTTATCGAAGATTACACCGAGATATTTTGCACTATTTACAAATGGAATATTTCGTCCATTTAGATTGACGTCCACGAGAGAAGTAGACCCCCTGATTCTTATCTTAATTAATTTTAGTATTCCAGCGCTCACACCAGGTATCCATAGACTGACTCTCGGTTGTGGACATAATTAATATAAAGATTGTTGTTGGTTGGTAGATGGTTTTAATAATTTGAATACATTGTAATGAGAAATGAACATTACGGACGTAAGTACGTTTATCATTTGTGTTATAGGACTTCTCAGTGCAGTTTAAAGATGAAGTTGCGTTTAGCACCCAAAGCTCTGATGCTATAAGGGAAAGTGCATTACCGGTTACTAAAGAAAGATTAAAAATTTTCTCCAGACCATTAAAGTAAGATTTCATCTTACTGCCTTCTCTCTTAAGAAATATAATTACATTTCCACCCCGTGTTTTTGAATCCAAACGAAAAGTTTGACTTCATGAATCCGGCGCTATTCGAAATAATCCCTAAGTCCGTTCTTAATGCTAGTGATATTAAAAGCTACGTGTTGATGTGTTCTCTGGTTACAGGATTACGTACATCCACCTGCCACTACAGAGCAAATGGCTGTACGTCGGCACGGAACGTGGAAACATCCACGTAGTTAACATTGAGTCCTTCGTGCTGTCTGGGTACGTCATCAACTGGAACAAAGCCATCGAGTTGTAAGTACTTGCATGTTTCTACAGACACTTCATTTTTAGATGCTTGAAACTTTTATGAGACAACTCAGAAATTTACGTTCGAGGAGGTGTATTGATTTATTTTGCTGGTAACTGCGTACGAGAGAGGTCGGTTCTGGAAGGTGCAGCATGGTGATACAAACATTAGTTGCATATGACAACACCGCTTCATCAAACCGTGGGGCATTAGATGCGTGAAACATACAGCAAAGGTGAGAGGCGGAAAGTTCATTAAAAATTTTAGACGGATAACCTGAAGGAAAGAGAGACACTAATTATGGAGGACAGTATTAAAAAGGCCGGTCACGGTAGCCGAGCGGTCTAAGGCATGTACTGTCTTCGCTCCCTTGGAAACCGGGATCGTGGGTTCGAATCCCACTCAGGGCATGGATGTTTAGTTTGTGTGTGTGTGTGTGCGTTTTTCTGTGTTTGTGTTTGCCTTGCGACGAGCTGATCACCCGCCCAAGGAGTCCTACCGAATGTGTAAGATCTAGAAAAACCGAAGTGAACGGAGTAGTTCATGGAGGTAGGCCCACTGGGGCTGTAGTGCCAAGGAAAAAAAAGTATTAAAAAGGTCCTTAAAGAAAATGATTTAGGCATACGGACTGCATTGAACGAATCCGGGATAGGCACCAGTGCTAGGTTGTTATGTGCACGGTAATGGATCTTGTGGTTCCGTAAAAGTTTGGAAATTTCTTATTCATTTCAGAGCTATCAGGTTATCAATTCATATTAGCATTTTAATTACTTACCTGATAACTAACTGACTCGAGGAGCTGAGCCCTTCTTGAGAAACCGCCAGTTGTGCAGCTGTTCTAGAACTTACCATCATTTTATGGAACTCGAACGTTCATTACCGTGTTCACAAGAGCCCTCCACTGGTCATTATCCTCAGCCGGATCAATCCAGCCCATACCACCCCATTTCATCTCTCATAAGATCCATTTTAATATTATCCATTCACCTACGTCTTGACATTTTGTAGCAGTCTCTTTCCTTCTGGCTTTCCCACCAATATTCCACATGCATTCCTCTTCGCCCTCATTATTTAGTTACCTGATCTGTTAATTAATTGGTTATACTGAGGCACCGAAAAGAATACGCAAGGATCGAACACGTGCTGTTACAGATGCCCTCCACATACTTCCCTGTATTCTCTGCCGTTGTGCAGCAATTCTGCCCATATCATTGTTGGTAGCGGTTTCCTCGTGATATCCCTCGCTAGCGGCTGGATGGACAGGCCTGAGGGACCTGGAGTGGACTGTAACAGTGGGCAGAAAGGGGGAAGCCTAGGCGTTGTCTTCCCTTCCATCCTTGGGACTTCTTTCTGCGAAACTATCCATAGTCATACAAGCAATAATACAAGGCCCAATGATGCACAAGCAGATAAATTCTGGGTAGTACTGTGCTCACTAAGTCTCGTTATACGAAGGAGAGTCAGTAAATATGTCACAAATATAAGAAAAACAGCTGTAATAGACGTAATAGGTTTTCTATATCCATCACCAGGTAGCAGCACATTCCAGCGTCGTAACAGTCTAGGTAGCAGACTGGCTTGCCATTATTCAGAGACTGTTTCAGTAGTCAAAATGGCGACCGTGCTTAAGGAGTATACTGCCGAAGAGCAGCGTTCTGTTGTTCGTTTTTATGGGCAAAAGGCCTTAATGCAAATGATATTTATAAAGAAATGCTTCCTGTTTATGGTGGGAAGTGTTTGTCGCTTAAAGTGATTCACAGCCGGGTCGAGAAATTCTCTCATGGACAATCGAATGTCACAGATGATGAAACGGAGGTGCGGAAGTGGCTGAGACAGCAGTTAAAAGATTTGTATACTGGGTGTTTCGACGCACTCTTAAAGCGATGGGGCATGTGTATCAATGTTGATGGAGGATATTTCGAGAATTGAATGTTTTTCCAGGTTCTAGTATCACGTGTTATACGTTTTATAGGCATTTGTGACCTATGTACTGAGTCTCCCTCGTAATCAAGGTTCATGTTTGCCAACAAACCTGCAGCCATGCTGTCACAACTGATACCAACTCTTCGTGTTACTTTCTCCCACTCCTCGTAGTTTATCTCCGCTCTCGGGCATCATGTGTATACAAAAACAAAAAGAAACTCTGTGGGCTGTAGTCCGCCAGCGAACTATACCGACCGAGCGACCGCCACTTGTCGGTGAGGTTAATGTCAACTTCAGCGGATAGAGGATGTCACGTGGTAAGCGCAGCGAATCCCCACGGCCGTTAATTTCGGTTTTCTAGACCGGAGCCGCTATTTCCTTGAAATAGCTCCTCAGTTATCCTCATGAGTCTGAGTGGACCCCCTTCCAGACCCACTACTTCTCAGAAAGTCTGGTAGCCCCGGGAATCGAACCCGGGACCTCTGTGTCTGTAGCCAGGAACTCTGACCACTAGACCACAGAGTCGGTCATTGTCTAAAACACGTTTAAGGTTGCATTCTCATCAAATAGTGACGTAAACGTTACTTCAGCTTTAGAAAGTTACTGGATTCTGTTTTCAACATGCGATTGGGAACCAGAATCACCATACCGGAAATCTCGTTAAATGCATGGAACTTTTATGCCGCGAGGTTCCTTACTCAAGGTATGACGTAACCTGAAATATATTTTAGCCGCACAATATATAATAGGATGTTACTGTATTCCAAGAGCGCATAAATTTCAAGTGTGTGAAAATGCAGTGCCAAAGAACATTCTGGGGCTTCAGAGACATGAAGTGAGTTGGGAATGGAGTAACTAAGTAAATAAAGCTATCCCTGTAACAGGCCATGAAGGCCCATAAGGTTGTGAGACGTTGAGGGTCCCACATTATCTAGACAATCGGCTCAAAGATGGCGGTAAGGTTGTCAGCCTTACGCGCCGGCCGTGCTTTACTACCCAGGAAAATTATTTAATTAATTCCTGGTACTCATTTCTGTTAGAGGTTGAGTCGACCCCAGGGCCATGGTGCGGCTGGATGGATTAGGTCAATTGAAGAAAATCCAATGACCTCATCTGTATTTGAACCCGCGACCTTCCGACTTGTAGCATAGTGCCTTAACCATGATTTATACAGGGTACCAGCAAAGTGAAGGAGGCTAAGATGGGCTGAGATTATAGCTTGGATGGCGGAAACAAATGCAGACACAAATTATTCTGGAAGTATTTTGAAAAATGGATAATTGGAATGAAAACAAAGAGATGGGTGTATGATGTTCAAATTTTTAAGCTATTTCACCATGTATTAGCTGCTGAAGTTATATAAATATAATGTGATGTGGTGTGACGCATTTCGCTTCGCTGTCAGAATGTGAACGTGTGTTCAGGTTTTGCCCCCGTTTACTTTCTCATAATGAAGTTGCAACTTTGTGAACAAGAATATAAGAGAAATTGTAAAGGGTTCTGATGATGATGAAGATGATGATATATTAAATTTGGTGCTGCTGGGTGTCTGCAGCATTTCCATTGCCTGACATCAGTTCCTTATAATGGACTCAACTGAGTGGTTGCCTGTCTCCTCGCATTTTCACGCGGGGTCGGAAACAGATCCCATTTCCGAAATGTTTCGTTCTGTTCGGAATTGAGAAAGTTCAGAAACCAGCAGTCCTAACAATTAATTTTGTTACTAAATTAATAAGTATGATTAATTGCAGAATTTACTTGTTAATTAAGCGGTTGGCTTTACATGTTTGTGAATGTAAAATTCTTCATAATATAGTCACTTATCTCCCCTTCATGTGGTTTTATGCGTTGCTTGATTTGTTTACGGCGCATATACAGGGCATGGGTAGACAGGAGACATTCACGTGGAGAAGTGCCTTCGGGGAAGATGAAGGTGAACAGTTTACTTCGGCTTGGAGTGCGCATGTCTTTCGCTCGTATTTTTCTTTTATTGTTTGAAACTGTAGTTGGAAGTGAAGCTTGGGTTATGATGGAAAAAGTGGATAAAAATGATGGAATCTGAACATATATGAGATTTCTTAAGTCATTGCTAGGAGTAACTAACTTTATGAGACTAAATTAAAAATATGAGATCAACTTCAAGCTGAAAATATGGTAGCAATGAAGAAATTACTGTTGCATTAGAAACAATATGCAAATATGGTGCAAAATTAAGCAGTAGATGTGCGAAATACTATACAATACTTCCCTCCTGACTCAATCGTAGACTTTCTTGAAGTCTACGAATAGCTGATGTACTGTCTCATTGTACTCCCATTTTTTCTCCAGTATCTGACATGAGAAAGATCTGATCTGTAGTTGATGTGGTACGTCGAAACCCACTTACTTACTTACTTACTTACTCATGGAGCTGAGCCCTTCTTGAGGAGCCGCCAATTCTGCAGCTACTCAAGAATTTACCATCATTTTATGGAACCCGAAGGTTCATCACCGTGTTCGCAAGAGCCCTCCACTGGTCCATATCCTGAGCCAGATCTATCCAATCCATACCGTCCCATCCTCTCTCTCTAAGATCCATTCTAATATTGTCCACCCACCTACGCCTTGGTCTTCCCTTTGGTCTCTTTCCTTCTGGCTTTACCACCAATATCCTATACGCATTCCTCGTCACCCCCATTCGTGCTACCTGGGCTGCCCACCTCATCCTCCTTGACTTGATCGTTCTAATTATACTTGGAGATGAGTACAAGTTATGGAGCTCCTCATTATGCAGTTTTCTCCAGCCTCCTGTCACTTCATCTCTCTTCGGTCCAAATATTCTCCTCAACACCTTGTTCTCAAACACCCTCAGTCTATGTTCCTTCCTTAATGTCAGAGACCAAGTTTCACACCCATACAGAAACACAGGCAAAATTATAGTTTCGTATGTTCTAATTTTTATGTTTTTGGACAGCAGACGAGAAGACAAAAGGTTCTGGACTTAATGGTAGAAAGCATTACCCGAGTTCAATCGGCTCTTAATTTCCTCCTGAATCAGGTTTCGATTTGTTATCGTCGTTCCCAAATATCTGAATTGTGCCACATTT